ACAGTTAATAGACATCATATAAATATGATGTTTAATGTGAACAGAGCAATGAACTGTTCATAGACAGTATTGCATACAAAGGATGTCATGTATGAACATGCAGATAACATCAAATTGAGCCAGACTTGAATGTGAACAGAGCAACGGATTGTTCATAAACATTCAGTATTACATGTATAAATATGTCGTTACATATGAACAAGCAGATAACATTAAATTGAGCCAGACTTGAATGTGAACAGATCAACCAATTGTTCATTAACATTCAGTATTACATGTATAAGTATGTCGTTACATATGAACAAGCTGATAACATTAAATTAATGAAAACTGGTGTGTTATAATATATATATGTTATATAATAATGTTCATACCAGTGTTACTGAATAAACTTATAACATATAATATAATTATATACATCTGTTTTAACAGCTTGCTACAATTACAACAACCATGTTTTCAACTTTGAGAACAGTTGATGAACAAATTTAGTTTTTCTTTTGTATCATTTCAGTTGAGCCAGCTATGTAAATGGGTCAATGCTAACAAGTTTGGTGTAATGGCTGGTAGAACAGATCCTTAGAACCTAAAACTGCTATCCATGTAAATAAGGATAATAATCCTTTCCATTGGGGCCATGGGACCATGCATCACTTTATCCAAATAACTTTCATGTTCATATATTATTCGGTTTTGGCCATGTAATCATATCTACAAAATAAATCATAAAAATACCCATATAGAAGTCAGTTGATTGATTGGTTTGGAATATATTATATTCAATGCTAATACAAAATGGTCCTTCATAGATATGCTATAGTTTTAGACATGCTCATGTAGAATGAACATGTATTTTTCATCAACAGGCCTCTCCAAAAAATGTTTATCAAGTATCAAAATAACCTTATATTTCCTAACTTCAAAGTCAAGAACCGGATATGCAACTGTCGTTCTTATATTAAAATAAATAGCCTTGAGCGATATTTACCATCTAGCTTTCATTGATTTAGTCTTAATGTACAATGGCAATGTAATATACAGTTAAATAAAATCACACGAAGAAAGCTGGAATATAAGACTAATAATACAGTGGCAGGACCACAGACCAAAAATTTTGAAGGTGTGTTTGGTACCTGCAATTGCTTTAGTTGTTTTCTTAATTTTTGACTGTAATATTTGCCTTTGATATTTATAATATTTATTAATGTTATATTACTGTACTTTGTAGAGAAAAAAAGAAAGAAACAACTATATTTTACAAGGATAACAACTTAGGGTTCACAGTTAAGGATCCTTTCTACCAGCTGGTCCTTAGCCAAACTTCTTGGCATTGATCTTTCTCGGATTATCCATACCTGTTTACAGCTGGGTCGACTGGAATTATGAGTGAAGATGACTTAATCAAGGTCTGCTGTTTAAAATATTCCCAATTATTTTTGCTTGTAAATTCAAAATAACCATTTTACTAATAGAAGGATCCTTTGTTTCTAAGTACATGAATACTCAAAGAATGGAATGAACTATATGGACTCTTTGACAATTCCATCCACAGAATGACATTGCGTGTAATACATCTACATCTGGCATTCTATTCATTCTTACCATGGAACCAGACCCAATTTATCCTGAAATAATTGACTGTATCCAATCAAATGATTCCAAGTCTCAAAGACAATCGTAGACCATTCTCAGATTTCTTTATGACTCACTCTGTAACAAGACATAACCATAAAAATTATTATTTCTTTTTAATTCGAGTGAAGTGAACCCGGGTGGAAAACACTGATCAGATTGCCAATAATGAGCTTAAACTACATTACTTCTCTAGTTTCAAGGGATACAGATGTCTAGTGATACATTTCAGAGGTTCTGTAGCACAGTAAAAGAGCAAATTTATGGTGGCCGTGAGTCCTAATCTTGGTTCTCAAGGATCCTGTCCACCACCTGGTCCTTAACCAAACCTCTTGGAGCTGATCTTGGATTATCCAACTCTGTAGACTGGAATAATGATTATGATTATCATTACAAGACTATCACACACTGATCAAGATTAGAACCTCCCACCACTATTTGTTTGCCCTTAAGACTACATATTGATGTTCCTCAATGACAGAGATGTTACTAAAAAAAAGCAATCTAATAACTCTTCCATGTGGAAAAAAACCATAAAAAAGTCTTCCATGTTGAAAAAAAATAATAAGTCTTCCATGTGGAAAAAAACCCAAATAAGTCTTTCATGTTGAAAAAAATAATAATAAGTCTTCCATGTGGAAAAAAAATCCTAATAAATCTTCCATGTTGAAAAAAATTCTAATAAATCTTCCATGTTGAAAAAAATAATAATAACTCTTCCATGTGGAAAAAAAACCCTAATAAGTCTTTCATGTTGAAAAAAAATCCTAATAAATCTTCCATGTTGAAAAAAATAATAATAAGTCTTCCATGTTGAAAAAAATAATAATAAGTCTTCCATGTGGAAAAAAAATCCTAATAAATCTTCCATGTTGAAAAAAATAATAATAAATCTTCCATGTTGAAAAAAATAATAATAACTCTTCCATGTGGAAAAAAAAACCTTAATAAAACTTCCATGTTGAAAAAAACCCAAATAAATCTTCCATATAGAAAAAACCCTAATAAATCTTCCATATAGAAAAAACCCTAATAAGTCTTCCATGTTGAAAAAAACCCTAATAAGTCTTCCATGTTGAAAAAAACCCTAATAAATCTTCCATGTTGAAAAAAACCCTAATAAGTCTCTAATGTTGAAAAAAACCCTAATAAGTCTTCCATGTTGAAAAAAACCCTAATAAATCTTCCATGTTGAAAAAAAAACCCTAATAAGTCTTCCATGAAAGTCTTCACTGAAAGTCTACTTATAATAAAAATACAAAACTAGAGGACTGCATCCCTTAAAAAAGCAAAGAGACAACCAATATAATCAATTTTAATCAGAATTATAATATATTAACTAATGAACTAGTTGACTGTCATACTGAGAAATCATTAATATTTGTTACAGCACAGTTTTCATGTTTTACATGGTTTAATTAATCCATGAATTCATGTTCTCATGATGCATATACCACTAACATGAGATACAAGTATAAACTCAAATATCTGACAAAATCTGTACACAATGGAGGGAATTTTCTAATGACAATAACACCTTGCTTTTTAACAGTCCAGTGACCTATTTTTTTTGATTTTCTATATAGCATGAGGTCTGTAGCATGTTGCTTGAGGGAGAGAGATTTCAGTGCTCCTCCATTACTCAGAAAGCTACAATGACTGCAACAAATTGGGTAATGTACTGCAAAAACTAAAAAATTATTCTTGATATAGCAGACGACAGCTTCATATGTTTTCATAATAAAACACAAAACATCAGTAATTCACAGACTTATTCCAATCACACCCAAAATATTTGAGAATTTTTAAATGAATGATTGACAGAGGCAGGTGCTTAGATATGGAAAACACTCCCAACCCATTATTACATTTCAAAATATCTTTTTCTAGTACAATCTCATTTCAAATAAGAAATCCTAAATTTTAATTTTCCTATCCTATGGACATTAAATATCATTTCAATGAATGGTCCTAGCCTTCTGAAAGGAACGGTGTTCTAAAAATGTAGTCACGCATGTCTAATTCAAATTACATAGTTAGCTGAATTTTATTATGAAAATGTTTTAAAGCTTATTTCCTTTTTACTGTTAGTCATTCTCCAATGTTGAGTTAATTATACCTCAAATATAATATTGTATTTTAATCTTCTACATTTAAATAAAGTCTCTACCACAAGTGTGTCCTTGGTTCTGCTTCAAAAGAGTTAAAAATTGAGAACATACATTGTAGGTAAACATTATGAATTATGAATATACAGTAGGCTACTGTTAGCTTAATTGTTAAACATATGGTTTGGATATATCAAATTCTATTTGCATATTTGGAAATTTGAATAGTTATGTCATTATGTGTATCATTTATAATATATATATAGCAATTTGACCCAGTATAAATGTATAAATATGTGTAATGTATGTATTCATATAAATATGTAGTACTTGTATCTTTTACTTATTATGTATCCATGTAAGTGCATGTATCAATTTGGCAGTGTGTCTTGCCATATACACGTATGTATCACAATGAATATCACATATAAATAATATTATATGAATGCAACATGGATTAATTCTATGTATAATGTGCATGTTTCAATATCAAAATTGACAAAAACATGTATCAATTTGAAAGTGTTTCTTGAATATATGTATCAAGAACATACATGTATTACAGTGAATATCACAAATAGTAGGCTACTCATTGGATTAATTCATAATATCTATAATGTGCATGTATCAATATCAAATGTGCATATATATAGATGTATCAATTTGAAAGTGTATCTTGAATATATGAATTAATGTATTGTTAGATGAAGCATTATAGAAAAGTTGGGAAGACTTACCTTCCAATGTCAGTTCCATTCCAGCAAGTTTCAGATGTCATTTTTTCTTCATAGATCATTCTGTTTCCACATATTCCATCAGCTATCCTATTGTACATTCCTAATGAATCATCTAGACGCTTGGATACAGACTCTACGACCTCTTCCAGTGAGATATGAGATAGTTCTTTAGCTGGTTGTATCATTAAGCTGGTATCTATCTTACGTTCGTAAGGATGGTTTTCAGTTTTAGTCTTGGTACTATTCACACAGTATTTCAGAACCTGGAAAAAGAATTTTCAGAGTCTCAGACATTGGAGAGCAGTGCCAATGAAATGGAATCAGGGGATCAAGATGAACTTTCAGTATTCTTCAGAATGAATTTTTAGAATACTGTGAAAAGAATTGAGTTTTATGTGCAGCTTCTCTGGACATTTTTGGGCTACAAAAGAATGTCCTTGCCTATTTTTACACCCTACAGCTGGTTAACACTGACTTATTTAGCATTGACAGCAATTTACATTCAATAAACCTTCAGATTTCATTAGTATATATCATTAACTAAAAAGGTACTTACAGAAGCATGGATTCTAGGTCCACCTTGCATAGCTTCTAATATACCATCAAATACCGATTTATCTATGGACATGAGTACCGTTTTTAAACTACTGGTACGACTTGTCTTCATGTTGATGACCAGATTTCTAAAGGAGGACACCAGCGAATCCCAGGCATGACTGATATCAGACAATTTAGCCAGACACCCTCTCATAACATTCAAACAGAATCCACGACAGGGTTGAACTTCTGTGTATCCATGGCAACGAGAACAGTATTGCAGACGGGTGACTGCATCCACACAGTCGGAATCCACGTGGAGGTTATCTGTGGTTTCCATGACTTCAACAATATCCGTCAGCAAGGTAACGAAGGAGCGCGAGCGGCGTAAGGAATGCTGAAGTTTTTTCTGCAAATTTTGAGGCACTTTTCCAAAAGGTCGGATCTGATCTGAATGATTTGAAAGGCAATCATGGTATTCATTGTCCATTTGTAAAAATGATGGATCGTTTAAAGTATAATAAAACACTGATGGAAAGAGTCTACTGAAGAATGTATGGACACTGTCATGTAAAGTGTCTTTTTCTCCTATGATATATTTATCTAAATGTGTAAAAAAGTCCCGCACTGCATCGTGATGTTTTGTCCAGGGTATATTGTGCATCTGTGTTAAGAGTACGGAGGTTCTGTTCTTGGCTTCCTCCAAAAACAATTCTGTACTTTCTGAAATGGACAAGAGACAAACATATTAAATCTTCTGAACAAAACATAGTGGCAAAGATGTCAATCAGCATATTAAGGGGTTGATTTGGATCTTGAATATTAGAAAATTGTGTTCAAAAACATCTCAAACTAGGAATTTGACTCTCTATTACTATATATGTGTCTATTTTTATATATGGCAGTGTCTCAAGAAAAGTCGTCTAAATAACTTTTCAATCATGGATAATTCTAGACACATATGGATTTGAAGGATCAAAATCCCTGTTTCTGGAATCAGACACGACTGGTCAAAGGATGTCACGCAGGTATACCCAACTTTGCCACTCTACGCCTCAGTTTACCGGCTGGCCAAAGATTTGTTTACTTCCCATAGTGTAAAATTTTCAAGTTCTTTAAGAGATTTTTCCAGAAATTTTAACAGACAAACAAAATGATGTGTTACACATGACAGAGCAAGTTATCCAACCCTAGACATAACAACAATCTTTATCTTTACACAGGAAGAATAACAATAGGCATAGTTATTGTCACGGTTCCCCAGAGAATTCATTTCTTTCCCTAACTATTGTAAATTAGTCAATTATTTATGCCATTATGAATATCATTATCATAACATGGTACATAAAGAACCAGTAAATGGAATGCTACTCAGTACATGTATGTTTAAGTTATAAGTGGCAATATAAATAAATGAATGAATCTAGATAAATAAATTAATGTTATAATTTCTGAAAAAGTTTTTAAATTTTTTTTATACAGTTGCTAAAGATAGCATCAAAGTACTGAAGTACATATAGCATCAAAGTACTGAAGTACAGATTACATCAAAGTACTGAAGTTCATACAACAACAAAGTACTGAAGTACATATAGCATCAAAGTACTGAAGTACAGATAGCATCAAAGTACTGAAGTACATATAGCATCAAAGTACTGAAGTACAGATTACATCAAAGTACTGAAGTTCATATAACAACAAAGTACTGAAGTACATATAGCATCAAAGTACTGAAGTACAGATAGCATCAAAGTACTGAAGTACAGATAGCATCAAAGTACTGAAGTACAGATAGCATCAAAGTACTGAAGTACATATAGCATCAACATCAAAGTAGGTTATAGGTACAAGCTGGATCTAGTGGTCCAGTCAGTAACCTATTTGACACTCTTCAATTTTCTATTGAACTCTTCCACACATGCATACAGTCAAATCTTGGCTACATATTGTGCATGTTTGGATGAGCTCATTTGCATTAGTAGGGGTATATAGCATTAAAGGTCAAATTGTACCACAGTTCCATGACCAAGACAACAGTATGTACAATTCAAATCCTACCAATAACCACCTAATCTGCAATATCAGCTTTTGCTGGAAGCAGGAATTAACTCAACCAATCAAAAACAGATAGCATAATATGACAGCTAGGCGATTAGGTGTTCTGCTGCCTGTGCCAATGCTTCTAAGAGTCAGCCAAGTATTGGTTCTCACACCCTAATAATACATAGTAAACCAAGGATTATGGATAGATGAATAAATAACCGTAATAAATATATTACCACTGACAAATAAGTATCAGATTTAAATAACTGAGATTATCTGTCACCTCCAATCTCTCTAGAACTAATCAAGTTACACTTACACAAGAGTTGTACAAGATCTTCATTATATAATTCACACTAAATTAACTCCTGATATAATCCAGGGTGACAAGTCCAGAAGGTTTAGCTACTAATATTACTATTCTGACTAACAGTGATTCAATTATACTACAAATTATACCTGCTATTTTATTTTGGGGATTCATTACTCATTTACAGTAAGTGTTTACTTAAAGGACCAAACTATCCAAAAAACAGGAAGAGCATAAAAGACCAAAAACATAATATTGATGCAGTCCAAAGAAAGATTTGCAATCATTTGGGCTGCAAACCAGTTATTTCACTGAAGCACTGTTGTCTGCTTATGGCTTTCTGGGCCACAAATCAGACAATGGTTCACTGTTGGTACTGGTGTCTGCAATAGATTTGGCTGAATTTCTCAGCTGTAAACCAGTGAATGATACACTATTCTAATAATGTAAGTGGATGGACTAAGCATTTCCAAACAAAGGAAACAAAGGCAGATCCAAAATATCCAAAAAGATTTTCAACCATTGAGCTATAAGCTGTAGAATAGAAAGAAGTATCAGATTTAATCAAGGTCCAACCTACAATAATATATTATATTGTTATATGAGATCTTGTTACTTCACTAAGACTACTCATCATACAAATACCAGATACCTTTAACCTGTGTGGTACTCAACACTAATTCACCACATAAAGGGTGGTAGATGAAACTTGATGCTTGTGTTACATCATTTCAATAGGAGGATTATATGGATTTTTTTTCTTCGAATTTTCCTTTTAGAATTTTTTTTTTCTTTTTTGTACTAGATAGAAAAAGGCTGGTGAGGTTGAACATTTTCTGGAAGAAGTGACCTTTTCTACTGCATATTTAAGTAGCTATTTAATGAACAAACAATCCAATCCAATCCAAACACAGGTTACCTCCCTATACTTGTCTAAGAAACTTCCAATAGCATCATCTGCCCAAAGACCAACAGATTCCATCCACATGATAGTCAAATCCATTCAGAATGCACAACAAAAGGATTCAATTAATAGAAAGTCATCATCAAACTGATAAACACATTCAGGAAGCTTCACAAAGCCACTTGACCATCATATAGAAAGCAAAGTGTAAATATGCAATTTGTAAAAGAAAATTAGCAAGCATATCAAGGAAACCAGCTTCTAGCTTACAAGAATTGAAATCAATATGGTGCACAGAGAGAACATTTTACACCAAAATTATAAAGAATGGCTAATTCTTGCTTACAGAGTTGGCTTTACTGCTTTGGTCAAGTGAAAATTATTTTGGTTTCAATATAAATACTTCTATGCAGGAAATATGTGTAAGTGATTTAAAAAACAGCAGTTATCACATACAGAACATTGTAAAGAATTTAGCCATTGCTATCACTGATCAAATATGTGAAATATGTCCCTCTATTGATATAGAGTTAGGAAGTGTATTCATTATGCACCCTATATATATATATATAACATGCATTGCTGTGTGTTGTTTAGTATAGACTTAGTCAACTGTAACCTGGTCATAAACATACTAACTATATTACTGTGTCTGTTGATGACAGAAACAGAGAACTATATTTTTCAAGGATAACAACTTAGATTCACAGTTAAGGATCCTTTCTACCAGCTGGTCCTTGGCCAAACCTTTTGGCATTGATCTTTCCCGGATTATCCATACCCATTTACGTTTGGGTCGACTGGAATTATGAGTGACTTATTCAAGGTCATCAGACTTTCATACGCCGATTGAAAATTGAACCCACAGCGGCCATTTGTTGGACGTAACCAAGCAAATGACATTCTGTTAAGAACCAACACTTTAACCAACTGTGCTATAGATCCTCACAAAAAGCCTAGTATTACTAAGGTGAAGTTTCTGAGAAATATTAGTATTAAAGTGATTGTAAAGAGGTTTTCTAAATTTTTTATGTGTATCTGGACACTGATAGTATCAATTTGTACCATTCTAATTTTCAATCAGACGTCTGTGTTTCTTGCAATTCCACTAAAACTAATCGAAAAGTATTCTTGTATCACATAAGGCTCTTCGCGATTAGTGACGTCATTATATACTTAAGACGTCTGATTGAAAACTGGGATGGTGCAAATTGATGCGTCCATGATACACATAAAAAATTTAGAAAACCTCTCTACAATTCCTTTGAGAGCTGTGAGCTTTTAGCAGTTTCATGAACCATGAAAAGTCTATATGGTGGAAAATTTAACTGTACTATATTTATCATTTTTCAAACTTGATAACTATGTATTTAATAGTGTAAAAAAGTTAATCATTATATTGACTCTGTTCTAGTTGGTTTAAGTCAAACAATATTTATCAAAGCTGAGAGTTTGGTGTTTCTGACTTATTTCAGACTAGCTGTAGACATAGATATAACTATATATTATATATACTTATTGGAAATCATATAATACATGCTGTAAACAACAGACAGTTTATTGACCTATATATACCTAGACTTGTTTGATATGAGATTATTTTTTTCAATTTCTTTAGATACTCACATACCTGTATAAAATAAATGAAATATAATAAGGGCCAATGTTTACTGAAACTTTCTGTGACACACTTGTTTTACATCTTACTTTTCTGCACTAAATAGGAAGAATCAAGTATAAAATACCAGACAATATGGCATTTAAAGTCTTTTTTCCCCATATAGGGCTATAGCACACAGGGCCTTGATTTATTCTTCCAAAAACTACATGACCCAAAGCAAACCAGAATTGCTAATTAGCTTAGGACAGGTGACATATTTCATTTCAATTAGCTTTAGCTTAAAAATTTCTGAAATTCCAATTAGCTCTGGGATGATGAAATATTTAATTTCAAATTAGCTTTAGCTCAATAATTTCCATTAAGATCAGGACTAAGTTACTTAATGTGTATTCAAATTCCAATTAGCTCATAGCTGATGAAATATTCATTTTCAAATTAGCTTTTGCTTAATTTTTTCCATTTAGATCAGGAATACAACTCTTCTATAAGTTCTGAATGTGTATTGAAATTCTAATTAGCTCATGGCTGACGTAATATTAAATTACAAATTAGCTTTAGCTTAATAATTCTCATTAAGATCAGGATTGAAGTACTTAATGTGTACTGAAATTCCAATTAGCTCCTGACTGATGAAATATTCAATTTCAAATAAGCTTCCATTAAGCTCAGGTTTAAAAACCTTTTGAAGTCTGAATGTCTAATTAAGTTCTAATTAGCTCAGACGAATAGGAAATTAGAGCTTCCAATTAGCTTAGTTCAGGTGAAAATACATCAATAAGTTTGTACTAGAAAGAAAAATCCTACATTCTCCAATCACTTAGTAACTGACAATAATTATAATGGCAA